ATGAGTTTTTAATATATTCTGGATAGAAGACCTTTGTCTCAAGAGTTTCTCCCAGTGTGTAGGGTGCCTTTTCATTTACTTAACAGCATCTTTTGAAGAGAAGTTTTTAGTTTTGATGAAGTCCAATTCATCCTATGTGTGTGTGGGTGTGTGTGTGTGTGTGTGGGTGTGGGGGTGTGTCTGTGTGGTCTACTGCTTTTTTACATTTTCCCTAAGACACTTCTGCCTACCCTAGGATTTTTCTACTTAGCTTTCATACTTATGTCTATAATTTATTTTAAATTGATCTTTGTTTATGGGCTCAAGCAGGGGTCAAGGTTAATTTTCTTCCATAAGAATATCCAGTAGATCCAGCACCATTTGTTTAAGACTTTCACTTTCTCCAACAAAATCTTTTCATGCAAATCAATCGACAATATACACATGGGCCTATTTCTGGACTCTCTGGCGTCCCACTAATCTATTTGTCTGTCCTTTCACAAATACCACACTATCTTAAATCCTATGGCTTAATAGTAATTCTTGAAATCAACTTCCTACAAGTTTGCCCCTTTTCAAGATTGTTTTGGCAAATCCAGAGCCTCTGCATTGCCTTGAGTTTAAGAAGTAGCCTGTCAATTCCTACAAAAACTTTTGGTGGGACATTGACTGGGATTGTGTTGAATACACAGATCAGTTTGGGGAAAATGGACATATTTACAATTCTGATTCTTCCAATACATAACATGGTACATCGCTCCATCTAGTAAAGTCTTCTTTAATTTCTGTGAGCAATGTTAAGTTTTTAGTTTAGAGGTCTTGCACATCTTTTGCTAAATGTTCCTTTTTTTTTGATGCTTTAGTCCAATTTCAAAATGTCTGTTGCTAGTAACACAAGATATACAATAGATATTTTTAAATTATTGCCCTTGTAGCCTATGGTCTTATTAAATTCACTCTATTATTTCTAGCAGTTTCTTGATAGGTTCCTTAGGATTTTCTAAGTTGACAATCCTAAATTTTCAGTCTTTATGCTTTTTACTCCTAACTGTTGCCCTCCTGCACTGGCTTGGGAATCCGGGGCAACGCAGAGCACAGGCGGTGAGGGTGGGCGTCTCTGCCTTGTCACCCAATCCCAATGAGAAATGCTCAAGGTATCACCTTTTAGAGTGATGTTATTAGGGTTTATCTTTTTTCTTGATGCCCTTTATCAAACTGAGAAAGTTACCTTCTGTTCCTAGTATGATAAGAGTTTTTTTATAAAGAATGACTGTTCTCTCTTCTTAAAGTTAAAACAGATTTTAACCTGTAAAAAGGGGCATGATTATGAATAACCATTATTTCGAAGAATGGTGTGAATAGCCCTTGTTGTGGTATTATTCATGGTTAAGAGAGACAATGCAGGAAGTAAGGGAACAAGAGGACTAAAAATCACGACAAAGTGAAAAAAAAAATCTGTTTCCTCACAGCTCTGTATTATGAGCTAACGGCAAACCAGCAATAAATAAGGGCTTTAGTCTCCTTGCATGTGTAAGGAAGTTATATGGCCAAACTACTTCACGGGGCTCCACACGAGGGGAGCAAGCCTGCCAAGGGCCCACATGAAAGTGTGCCCCTGTCACTGTCCTTCTCGGTCTCCCGTTTCAGTTTCGTAGCTGCTCTCACGTCAGGCTCCCGCCACGACAGCCCTCTGTCACCGAGTGGGCCTCCAAATGGGAGGTCTTAATTGGGGCTATGGAATATTTTAGGTGAATGCATTTTGAGGACACAAAATGGTTTAATTTTCTTCAGATTGTTAATGAAGTTGGTGATTAAAAATGATCAATGATTAAAAAAGCTCTAAAAATATCTTCTATTCAATGCGTTTCTGCCCGATTGTGTAAGCAAGCTGTAAAGAAAAGATGTTAAGTTTTACAGGGAGTCTCCATGTCACGAAGTCTCAATCTGGATTTTCACATACTTTTCATGTCAGAGTTTCTAGAAGGCTAATTTCTACATAGGAATATTACTATATAAAATTTAAAATGCTAACTTTTCATACGCACATTAGATTACATGAATGAATCAAGTTTCTTAATAAAGGACCCAAAGCTGCTGAAGTTAAAATACTGCCCACTAGAGGAGGCGGAGAGGAAATGCAGGCACCCTCTTACACCCTGCCTAGTTCTAACCTGTATGGGGCAAGAAGACTGGGAATTCACAGTAACTAATCATTAGGGGAATACAAATCAAAACCACAGTGAGCTACCATCTCATACACATTAGAACAGCTATCTAAAAAACAACCAAACCAAACCAAACCAAAAAAAAAAAAAAGCAGAAAATAACAAACATAGGCAAAGATGTAGAGAAACTGGAAGCCTTTACATTTTTGGTGGGAATGTAAAATGGTGCAGCTGCTCTGGAAAACAGTGTGGCAGTTTCTTGAAAAGTTAAACAGAGAATTACTGCATGATCCAGCAACACCACGTCTGGGTGTACACCCAAAGCAACTGAAAGCAGGGTCTCAAAGAGGTATCTGCACACCCATGTTTACAGCAGCATTATTCACAAAAGCCCAAAGATGGAAGCAACCCAAAGATCCATCGACTGATGAATGGATAAACAGAATATGGTACAGACATATAATGGAATATTACTCAGTCTTAAAAAGGAAAAAATTCCTGCACTTGCTACAATATGGATGAACCATGAGGACATTATGCTAAGTGAAGTAAGCCAGTAATACCAAGACAGGTATTGTATGATTTCATTTATAAGAGGTAACAAGAGTAGTCAAACTCAGAAGCAGCAAGTTGAACAGTAACTGCCGGGGGCTGGGGAGGAAAGGGAAATGTGGAACTGTTTAATGGGCACAGGGTCCAGTTTTGCAAAATGAAAAAGTTCTGGAGATTGATTGCACAATAATGTGAATATAATTAACGTTATTGAACTGTACACTTAAAAATGTTCAAGATGGTAAACTGTATGTGTATTTTATCACCAAAAGAAAAAAAGAAAAAGAAAAGAAAAAAAAGAAGTCCTGATAAGCTTCTAACAATTCTAAATACAGTTAAGTATAGTAAAGACCACTAAAACCTCATGATTTAAAAATCTAGTCTTTGGGACACCTCACTTACTAAACCAGGATTTCATAAAGTTTCCCAAATTACTCACAAGGTCGCGCTCACTCCGGGAGTCCTGGCAGTTGGCACTGATTAACGACTTCGTGCTCACAACGTCATTACGTTTCAGAGAATGTAAGACCCTTACCCAGTGCTGGGGTTTTAATACCCCCTGAAGATTTGGATGAACGAGAGGACTGAAGATCGTGCCATGCATAGACATTCTTCTATACAAGCTTAAAAACAGTCCCTCCTCCCGTTAACGTTCCCTGTTACGGCAGAATAAAAGATTCTAACCTCCAGTTCTTTTTCATCGAAGTACTGCAGCCACTGCAGGGGAACAACTTCATTAAAACCGTCGAGGAAAGCTTTGGTCTGTTCTTGCACTCCTCGAGAAAAACGCCACTCCGTCATTAAACTGAAAATAGAGACGGTATTTAAAAACAGGAAATTGGTATGTGAGGTAAAAAGCTTAAAAACAACCAGCAGTTCTTAACCATCACTAAAAGAGAAGGCAAAGAAAATCAGTATGGTGTCTGGATCACAGAAACCAAGAGAAGAGTTTCCGAGCGGAGGCTGCGCTGAGCC